GAGAAAAATGTCTGCCTTACACTTCTCAGGATCAGATTGTAAATGCATTTTTTTTTTAAAAATTTCAAAGTGAATGTGGAGCCTTGATTACACCATGTTTGTTCTGCTTTCCAGCACTCCCTTTTCTGGACCCTTACAGAATGAGTGTTCCTCTATGGTGCCTTTTGCTTATTACTGATTAATTTCACCATAACAGGAGCAATAGCATCAATCACATTTGCAGTTTTAGAAGTGTAGAAATTCAACAGATCATCAACATGATTTAAAATAGTGGCATATTCTATGAAAAGTGTTTTGGTGTTCTCATTAAAGTATCTTTTTTTTTTTTTTTACATTTGCTGATCCATGGACACATCTGGGAGTCACTGACAGATCAGAATATACCCAGAAATGAGCAACATCAAGCACAGTGACATTTGAAATGTTAACACCTTTTGTAATGACAAGATCTAGAGTGTGTCCTCTATTATGGGTTGGCTCTCTCACATGTTGAGAGAGATCAGATGTGTTAAGTGTGGGAGAAAGTTATGTGGCGTTTTTCTCACAGACATTATCCATGTGGACATTAAAATCACCCGTAATGACAACACAGTCAAATTCAGCACAAATAATTGAAAGCATCTCAGTAAAATCATCAAGAAAATTTGGAGAGTATTTAGGTGGCCTGTAAATCACTATATATATGATATATGGTAAGAACTTAATTTCTGTTTTAGATGGCACATATTCAAAAGATGAGAATTCACCAAAGGATAGCTTCTTACAAAGAAATCTATCTCTGAAAAAGGCATTTACAACACCTCCTTTTTTGTTCTGTCCAAAGCTCATGGCCATGGGTGAGGGTCAAAACATAGATGGACCTGTAAATTGAGAGCTCCCCCCTCCAACTCAGCTCCTTCTGCACCAAAATGGACCTGCAAAGACCTGCAACACTGCTGATGGTGCTCCCATCTGCCAGAAGGATAAGGGAGGCCAAATTTTCTGAACGACCCAGGAGAATCCCCTATTAACTCTTCCAGTTGATTTGAAGCAGTGGACCATTCTGAAGCATCAAAGGGATATTTTCCACATACAGGGCTTCTTTGGTTTCTGTCTTATCTCTCCCATAGTCCAGGTCAATCATTCAGTCCACCATGGCCCTCTCCTCCTCATTTTTCAACTCTTTGACTTTACAACCTATTATTGTAATACGGCATATTTCTGTATTTCTACAGTATATAGTAATATACTGGCAGCACAGATGCCAGCAAAATAATGTAATTTTACAGTATCCATACTGTTCAATGTTTGAGCTATTCAAATCTTCATCTCACTGATAAATTACATTAAAACCAGCCTGATAGCCTGATGAGCATCAGTTTGGAATCAAACATTTTTTGGAGATATAAAAAAGATACTGCAAAGAAAACAAGACTTTAATTACTGTCTACCTCTGTAGATGCAAGACCTGATCGATGTTGATGAGGTAGGACTTGTTGATGTGTAGCACATGCACATGTCCTCCAAACTGTGTGTCCTCCTCTGGAAAAACTGCTTTCCAAACTGCTTTCCAGTTTCTGGTGTCCTTCAGGAGTTGATGGCAAATTATTTCTGTCTACTTTTCTAAAAGTAAAATTGATTGTAAAACCAAAAGCCTATTTTAGAACGAAAAGACTAATATTTTATCAAACTTCTGACCGTGCTCCAAATTCTCCATACAACACCCAGTTTCCAAAAAATACTGCGGTGTCCTGTCATTTAAAACAACAGTATACTGTTTAGGTCCTCCATCCTGTTGCTTTAAGTGGAGCAGCCCATAATGCATTGCTATTTACAGTGCCAAACTGTTTTACACCAGTACAATATTTTAGTGTTGGAGATTGGCTGTAAATTAACAGTAATTGCTTACAGTTTGTGTGCATTTGTAAAACGGGTCTATTTCAGAAAATGAGGCATCATTTCCATTTCACAGGTCTTTAATTTTTTGATTTGGTGTGCTTTTTTTCCGCTAATAAGTTGCTGATCATGTGCTGTCTGGTGGTAGCGGGGAGAGCAACCTGTTTTTGGTGGTCAGGCTCAAGGTGCCCTTTCATATCATTATAGTTTGTGCTCACCTGGTGGATTTTTCCCAATTAAAGTTGTTTCATCACACAAACTAGCTGACGCATGAGCAGCCTGTTACCAGATAGTATTTTAGTGTGGGAGTAATGGTTGTGTCTGTTTGCAGAATATAATGAAGCTGCCACTTACAGTGTGCTGTGTAAGCCATTCTTAATGAGAACTTAACAACAACAGGAGCCAAACAGCAAATTTTTGCCCAAGGATCCCTCAAAAGGTTAATTTGGCCATGTTCAGAGAGGCAACAGCTAGTTTTAGGCTGCTGAAGTTTATCAGTCTACCAGAGGGGGCTGGGTTATACGTGCATGAATGATTTAAGATTAGCATGAGAGCAGTTGTTTGCTTGCAAGTTAATGCAGTAGTTAACATATTAGTGTCTGCCAATTGGTGTGCATGTTGTCCTGTCCCCACACAATAAAGGATTCTGAGGGGAAAATTGATGAAATATTCCTAAATGCAACTATTTAGGCTGCAATCAAAACCGCACATTTAAACCACATTACATCTGACCAGTAACATTATGGGAGAAATGTCAATATTATAAAATATTGGATAAGCTACATAGCCTAATGGATAATAACACCTCACTATCACAGGGGCGTCTTGTGAAGTTGAAGTTGTTACTTTAATTCTGTAGTTGATATGATTTAATTAAAGTTGCTATATTCATTATTTATTAAGAAACTATTTACAGAACAGCCTCAGAATTGAGCTTCAGAACACTGATTGAACACAGCTACCCAAATGAGGATTTTCCTTCATCATGTGTATGAATATTGACATATTTTATTTGGATCATACCAGTACAAGTAAAGAGGACATTAATCATAACAGATACTCCTTTCATCTGAGTATTTGGCTGAACCCTACTTTTTACTTTATACACTGCACAAAAAAATAAGGGAACACTTAAATCACACATCAGATCTGATGAACAAATTATTGAAGTCGAAAATCTTTTCCGATGTACATTGTACAATTTGTTGAGAACAAAATGACGTAACAACAGTCAGTGAAGACCAAAATCATCAGCCCACTGAAGGCTGGATTCAAAATCACGCTGAAAAGCAAAGTAAAAAATTGAAATCACAGGCTGATCCAGCTTGTGTAATTTTTTGGCAGAGTTGGCAGATGGTATCCTGGGGGATCTCCTCTCAGACCTGGATCAGGACATCAGTGAGCATCTGGGCAGTCTGTGGTGGTTCTTGGCAATGTCGGATGCACCAATACATAACATTCCATAGGTGCTCAGTTGTATTAAGGTCAAGGGAACGAGAGGGCCAGTCAATGGTATCAATAGGTTCGTTCGAGATGAGCCAGTCCTGCGCAGATTCGATCACCGGCGATCGGCGCACAGTGCATGCCGGTTAGTTTTGTGTCCGACTTCATCTCGACTTGCTCTGACGTATTACAAAAGTGGACGGCGATAAAACCGAGAGAGAGAGGCGGCCGCAGTTTTTAGAGCCAGGCACTGCAGTTGCTCTCCACCGACTGCACCGCCTGGCTCTCACCAGATAAAACAGCTGATTGGTTTAGATGTCGACTCAACAATATGACGTTTTAGATAAACTACTCATTTTTGTTGTATTTTAGAGATTAAAATTGTATTTGTCTCATCAGAAGGTTTATTCTGTGAACAGAAAACATGTTGTGTGACTGATGGTGAAAACAAACTGATATATGGGTCTGATCACTTTTTTAATGAACTGACATCATTCCAGACAGGATGTTAGTGTGTCTGTGACTTCCTGTACAGACTGAAGGCTGCTGGAAACTGTCGGGAAACTGTCCGACTTCACCGCAGCTTTTTGTCACCGCCCCCCGCTGCGGCCGCCTGCTCTCGTCTACTTTTCAGGCGAGGTGCAGTTCATCTCGAACGAGCCTAATACCTTCATCATCCAGGAACTGGTAGGGTTACTTTATTTGTACCCACAGATAGATTTGGTTTGCAGTAAAAGATGATGCATCCTTCATGACACACATGGTACTGTCCTATTTCCAGCCTCGCCACCCCCGCAATTAAATGCAATTTTTTCCCCACTCGCTCTCTGCTTGTACAAACCAGCTCCTGTAGGTCTTTTTCTCTGCTCCTACAGCAGCTCAGCTCCTCACTATGGCTGCATAAAGAGAACTCTGTGGCTGTTGCTGTGTCTCGTGTGTGACTAAGAATGTATGAGGAGACACTCATCGCTGAGGTTGAGAAATATTGTGAGCTAAACGACCTACAATCTTGTCATTATAAAGACAATGGCCAAAAAGATATTTCCTTGTGAGTCATAGCTCTGGAGATAGGCTCCTCAGGTGAGAATTCAAGGTTAATTAGGGAATCCCCAAACATGATTTTGAGCAATGCAGAGGTGGATCTTTTATTTAAAAGTAGTAATAACTTTGTGAGGTTGTCTGTTGCCGAGCTGCAGCGTGACCCGTCCAGTGTGTGCTTGGGGGCGGCACTTGACGTTGTGCTGCGGGGCTGCCACTGTGTTTTCAGCTTAACATTGCTTGTAGAGACAATTGATGACTGTCAGCAAGTAGAACACAGATACAAGTTACCTACATACAATTTAAAATAGCTCAAGGGGTTTTTCAGTAATGACATCAGAACAAAAAAATGTTACAACTGTCCCTGGTCTCCCCTATCATATAACTATAACAGCTAAAAAGGAGACACACTGTATCCACTTTAAAGTATGTAGAGCAGCACCTCAAAGGCATCTCGACAGCTCCTGTATTTTAAATTCAGTTCCTGTCCTTATAGGCTGTGTTATCTGCTTTGGAAGACACAGATTTTAATTTGCATTAGTGCTAGTCCTCGTGCAACTGGAGTGAAAGGGGTTAAATCACGTGTTGAGCACTTGGGAGCTGAAGAAGAAATACTCAGCCGTTATTCATTCCACTACAAAGCGTCTTCCTCAGCGGCAGTTGTCATCAAACCTCTGCCTCTGTCTGCTCTGCACACACTGTGTCTGTGTCTGTGTCAGTCTGTGTCTGTGGCTGAACATGATGCGGACTGTAGTGTTTTGCGGCATCTTGCCTTTGCAACTTCTCTTCTGCGTCTATTCTCTGCCGGTACACGACCGGACCGTCAACACGTACAAGCAGCTACAGGTGAGTCAAATACGCAGTGGTAAAGAGGTGTAGTAAAAAAACTTTATGAATGGGGAAAAAGTGAGAGATCACACAATGCTCAGCAGTAGGGGCACACGAGGATGCTGTGTGGAGTTAAAGACAAAGAATTACATATGAGTGAATATATTTCATGTAACTTAAGGACGGTAAAGCTGTTTTTCATAAAACTTTTCTAACCACAAGTAGCTAAAAAATCAAGTGAAACTGTGTTCCAACTTATATTCTGCATAATTCGTATAAAAAAGAGCTGCAAACTCCTGTGTAAGTTTCATAGGTGAACTTTTCGTTTAAAGAGGTTGGCCACTGTAAATGCTTTTGTTCTTCAAGATATTCTAACATGACATATCTGACAGCTGAAATCGTTATTAACTCTGGGAATCTCACAGGTCCTGAAGTTGTAATACATTTCCACTTTATTTGTGGATGAATTACTGTATTTTATTTATTGAAGGTGTTGTTTCAGAATCAAACCTTCCTTTTCTTGCAGGAAAACAAACAAACAAAAAACTCCCAAAGCATTATGCATGAAATTGTACTGTATGCCCAAATAGGATACTTGTTTCAGACTTTGTGCAGCCAGGTCTGCTTTCCGATAGTCTGTCAACAGTCTGAGTGAGAGAGTCAGATTAAACAGGCAGAGGCAAGTCATCTGGCAACTGGGGGTGGTTGAAAAACTCTGCTTGTTTGCTGACTCAGAGAAACAGGAGAGGAGAGCAGAGAGCAGCTACTTAGAGAGAGTCACACACCAGGCAAACAGAAACCCAGAGACTGAGCAACCCCATGGAGCTTTTGTTTGTTCATTATACTGAGTGTCTGCAGAAAAGAAGCAGCCCTGCCAAACAGGACGACACTACAACAGTGTAAAACTTTGCTACTCATGATATAATTATTGATTTTAGTCGCCAAATCAGAATAATTTTCCTAACATGCAGTGAAGCTTTAACTGCATGATGTGTGTGTGCATCAAACCACTGTTTGATTGACAATGAATGATTTCTATTCATTTTTCTAGTTTGCCATACATGAATGTATTCATCTAAACACTCAGCTCTTAGTGGTGGAAGGTAACTAAGTACATTTACTGAAGTACTTATGTAGGGGAGACCAGGGATAGTTGTAACACCTTTTGTCCCACACCTACATTTTTTTTTGTATTAGAGCTCTCAAGTTTTGACACAAAGTAGCTTAGGTTATCCTTATTTCCCTTCTACAAATAGCGATGTTTCCAACTTATATCTATAACTATATCAAAGACTTCATCAATGGATATCAAATACAGGGGGTTCTGCTGTTTAAAACCTGCCTCTCTACGGGGGTAAGATGTAACGTAACCTGGGATAAGTTGTAACAAGAATTAAAAATTACACAGTTACAAAAAATACACATTAAAGGCTGATGCATAAACTAATAACCAATTCCTACTAAGTTACAAAGTAACTTGCAAATCTGTGCCTGTCAAGCCCAGTTACCAGAAGAAATGTTGCCACTTTACCTTTGTGCAAACCACAAACATGTTACATTTGTACGTTTCATATCAATGTTTCGTAAGTGATGTAGCATATGAGCTGACTTTGTCGTCTGGAGGTGGAGTGGATGGTGGATAAGTGTGTCACCCAGACAAGAAGCCTGCCAAGCTGCAGACCACGGCAAACCACTGAGACCAACAAACAACAGCGCTGGCTGTGATTTAGTAAGTCATCGCTGTGTTCCCAGCGGCTTTTTAGCTACTGAACATGGGTGTTTTAGCAACCTGTCGCTGTTTTCTCATCAGGGATAGTGCCACGGAAAGCAATTGTTTATTGACACATTGCTTTGTTTCCACCAGGGATTGTGCCCCCAAAACCAGGTATTTTTAGCCAAAACATGATCTTTTCCTAACTATAACCAAGTGGTTTTTGTGCTTAAACCTAACCACATGTTCACCACAGCATTGTTGAAACGTTAATAAGTTTCAACATATCCACTATATCATATCATACAAATGTAACCTCGCTGTGGTTTGCAGAAACATCAAAAAAGTTTGATCCTCTTTCCCTGAGGTTTTGTTATTTCTTGCAGTACCTGCTCAGCTTCAGAAGAGCAGATAAAGTATATTTTGAGGACATAACTTACTGTTTTTCTCTGCCTCACCTCATCCCATGCAGATTTTAGTGTATGTATGTCAGTCTTTCTCACCGACTGTCTGCCAGTGTTTACCAAGCTGTAGCAGCATGTTTGAAATGAACAAAGATGAAATGTCTCACATTACACCCAAGAGACTACTCTCTAATCGAATGCAAGTTCTATCATTTTAATTTTTAATCAGTACTAAAGATTACTTTCATACCTGAAAATCAGTATTTGGGTTGTAAAATCTGTACACTTATTCACACAGCTATAAAATTTCACATGCAAGGCCAGGATGGAAGTGGTCATACAATAAATGTATTACATGACTCTTAGGTAGTCCCTTCTTTGTTAAAGTGGTGCTGTTGCAACCTTCCCTTTGTTACAACCAGTCTCCCCTACAACTGTGAAGTACTTTACTTGCTTTTTTCTATTTTTTGCTACTGCTACTCCACTACATTTCAGAGGAAAATATTATACTTCTTACTCTGTTTCCTATATTTTACAGCTTTAATTGTTAGTCAATTTTAACTTTAACTTTAAGGGTTATATTAGCTGTCTAGACTATATTAGCTTGACAGCAGTCAATCAATAATTTATTTATTATTAATATTTATTATTATGGTTTTTTTTTTATTTTTGTCACATGTTGATGCTTGTGATGTGATTTGTCATAAGCCCTTTTAACTTGTGCACTGTAATTTAGTCATTTTCCTGCATTTTCTTGCATTATTGGCTGCTGCTTTGTAATTGTCCATGTTTCCGGATGGTTCTGGTAATGGTTTCTGGTTGTGGAATGTTTATGTGATGAGCAAGTGGCACCTTGTATGGAAGCCTTGGCCAGCAGTGTATGAATGTGTGTGTGAATGAGTGAATGCTGGCTTGTGTTGAAAAGCGCTTTGAATGGTTGCTAAGACTAGAAAAGGGCTATATAAATGCAGTCCATCTAGAATGTAAAAATTTTCATTTTTTTCTGCTTTATACCATTGCAAACTGAGTATTTTGGGGTTTTGGAGTGTTGAATGGACAAAATAAGACATCTGAAGACATCACTTTGGGCTTTGAGAAACCGATGGATGTTTTTCATAATTTTCTGACAAAAAAATGATGAGTTAATCCAGAAAATAATCTACATATAACTGATAATAAAAATAACTTTTGCAGGCTTTGTACTGTGTGTGCTGCGTATGAACTGTAAAAATAATGGACGTAGATAGTGTGGCACCATTTGTTTTTGGACTTAGGTTTTGAAGCCTTGAGCTTGGCGTCAGAGCCAGGAGTGACCATATTGGGTGAGAGGGTGGAGCTGTGGAGGAGTGAGGGGTGGATCTGACTGAGAAGCCGAGGACGCTATTGACAGACAGCCTGTCACTCAAAGTGACATGCCCTTAATTTTGCATAACTTTAAGCCCTAATAAAATGTAAAAGGATGAGTTATATAAAAATTTGCCTCTGTACAGTTGTCATGAATGTTGAAATTGGCTATAGAAACCAAAACTGTTTTTTGGACCAGGCTGTAAACAGGCTTATTTCTGCTGAAATAAATTCCAGAAATTGTATTTGTAATAACAAATTGGCCCCATATCACAACTAGACAAAAAATATATAAAATATCAGCATACAGATGCAGCTACCAGGTTTGTTACCAGTGTGGTAAATGGGCAAGAAACACAAAATGTTATATTTCAGTGTTGTGTCCACAACTTGTTTCTGCTGCTCTTAGAGGAAGATTTTAATGCAGGACCTACTCTTTGTAATTAAGTATTTTTACATTGTGGTACTTGGATGCTGAGGATACTTCTATCCCCACTGTCAGCAGTAGCTCTCACAAGTGTATTTTATGTCGAAATCTCTAAAGAAAAATCAAAAAATCTATGATAGAGCCTTTCTAAGTGTCATATTGTTGGCAACTGGACTTGCTTGAGTTTCTTAAAGATGTTTCACCTCTTATCCAACAGGCTTTCTCAGTTCTGAACTGAACTGAACTGAAGAAGCCTCTTGGATGACTGCTAAAATGTCTTCAAGAAACTCAAGCAAGTCCAGTTGCCTACGATATACAATTAGAATTACGATGACCAAGATGACTGAGAATCTTCACCAACATGATGGAGCCTACTAACTGAAGATGTTTAGTGAGTGATGTTTACAGTGGAGGATCAGTCTGTCATCTCCATTTATTCTATACCGCAAACATTCCCTCGACTTGGCATAATGAGTTCATTTGTTTGCAAAACACAAAATGCCTGCTGATGTCTGGGACTTCTTGTGGTTTAATGTTTACCCTTAACAGATTTCACCTAAGGTGCACATCATTTATCTCAGGTTTGGACTACTTTTTATTTACTCTGTGGAGTAGATCTTATCACATTTGTAGTGTGGGGATTTAGGGAGCCAAATCAGATTCTGCTCAGGTTTTTTTGTAATTGCAAGTCGTAAAGTTAGTCATTCCCAATAATGTCAGATCAGCATCCTTGAAAACCTTTGATAGCTTACTCCCTGTGTACTGCAGATGACCTGATGTCATGACTGAACAGGGAATTTCCAGACATCTGCTCACTGTGTGTGATGTAGCTCTGCAGCAGTTTTAAGAATAGATTTGTGTGTGTTGGTGTGTAGTGCACAGTTTTCAGTCATGTGCATGTACATACTTGCCCACACACATTGTATTTGCATGTTTGTAACAGATGCCACCTATTAGATAGAGCAACACTGCTCCCCTCTGTAGATGGGCTCAGCACTTAATTTGGGCACGTCAATTTTGGCAAGATGCAGCAGCCACGGTGTCCTGTGGTGACATGTTAGCTCCATCCCAAGGATTCCCCCAGCATACAGTACACAAAGCTTTATTTCAATGACATGTGACTTTGTGTTTA